AAAGAGGTTGCTCAGTGTACGTGCTCCCGGACCACTGGCTTCATATATGATAAGCCGGCTGCAGAAAAGTTTCACCTGCCTTAAAAAAGAACACTTTGATGGTTTTACCATGGTGATAGGGAAGGGGACCTTTGTCTACATAAATTACCAATCTTTTGCTCTAAACTCAACATAGTGACTCTGGTAGTCATTGGTGCTGCTCACTGGATATTTTCCATTATCCTGATATGGTAGAATCACACTGCTTGGTTCCCGTTTGGTGGGGTAGGTCCATGTGGCCAGATTCATACAAGAAAATGTGAGTAGAAGTGGTATGTGCCACTCTGCGCTGCCATTTAATTGTCCTTGTGGGACCCCCCTAGAGTTCTCTTTTTTCTCTGCCATGGTGTTGCTAACATTGCTGATAGAGGCTGCTCCCCTATTTCTGGGCTTTTGAGTAAGGATGAGGAAGTACCACAGAGGTCCTCGCTGATCTACAACAGAGGGGGAGTGAAAAATCATCCTTTGGTGTCTTAAGGAGATTTGGGAGTTATTTATCACCATAGCAGAATCCACCCTATCCTCCCATGACTCCGTCTCCTGGACTACCAAGAAGATTGGGACCCTCTGGGACAACCACTGTTGGGCAGCCCTTTCTCCTCATCTCATAGTGGCTGCCATCTTGCCTTCCTGAGAAGCTTCCTCATCTCATAGTGGCTGCCATCTTGCCTTCCTGAGAAGCTTCCTCATCTCATAGTGGCTGCCATCTTGCCTTCCCGTGAAGCTTCACTGGAGCAACCCTGCCCACTCCGTCCTCCTGTGCCTGAGGAAATGGATCTTGTTGTGTATCCCCATCCTTATCCTTGTTCTCCTTTGTCTTTAAATTTTGACTCTCTGGTTTGGGGAATCTTTAAAGATTCATCTTTATGATGCTTTCCAGTAGCCACATAATTTCTCTTCTATGAAACTTTTTTTTTTTTTTGAGATGGAGTCTCACTCTGTTGCCCAGGCTGGAGTGCCATGGCGAGACCTCAGCTCACCACTGCAAGCTCTGCCTCCTGGGCTCAAGCGACTCTCCTGCCTCAGCCTCCCGAGTAGCTGGGACTACAGGCATGCACCACCACACCCGGCTAATTTTTGTATTTTTATTAGAGACGGGGTTTCATCATTTTGGCCAGGAAGGTCTCCATCTCTTGACTTCGTGATCCGCCTGTTTTGGCCTCCTGAAGTGCTGGGATTATAGGCTGAGCCACCCGTGCCTGGCCTTCTATTGAACTTTTTGAGTTTATGCACCCTACCTCAGCTTTCTCCTCATTTCCCAAATGCTTAATCCTCTGTACACCCATTTTTGTTCTAATCTTGTCACTGAAGCTGGTTGCCTAAAATTGTCAGTCTACATAGATCAAGGCTACTCTGATCCCCAAAGTTCGATTCTTTATTTTTGTCATAGGGTTATACAATTTCAAAACTGAAAAAAAAAAAAGGAAAAAAAGACAAACTGGTATGCTTCTCAAGCGTTAATGTGCATAGAATCACCTAAGGATCTTGTTAAAATGCACATTCCAGGGCCCCACCCCCAGAGATTCTGAGTCGGAAAGTCTGGGGTGGGCACTGGGAATCTGTATTGCAATGAGCTCCCAGGGAATGCTGATATTGCTGCTCTAGGGACGGCACTTTGAGTAGCACTAGATTAGATGACAGTTTTTAGTTTTCTCTAAGTGTAAAATAAAGACAATGTATGCACCCCCTGCCTTATGTAGCAGAGGAGATCTTCTCCATGATTGCCGTGATGAACCAGTAAGAGTAGCTCTTCTAAATGCTCCAGGAAGGAAGCATTAAGGTACACACACTTGGGAATAAGGGCAAAAGCCTTAGTATACTACCTTTGCCATGCATCTCCAGAACTTGGATAGAGGTGGGAGGCAAAAAAATTTCTCTCTTTTTTTGTGGAGAGTGCTGGTCCTGCAACACACAGATGAGCTCTATTTCTAATGGCAAAACACTGTAAAATAATGAACTGTTGAGAACTTTCCGTGAAAATGTATTCTTTGAAATTTCTTTGAAAGGCAGTTTGTAGATTTTGGGAAATCACAAAAAAGTCAAACAAAAGAGACAGTTTTCTGAGGACCTTGTTCTTCCTCTCATTCAATATTTTTGCTTCCTCTATAGCCATTTGTTGACACAAGGGTAGACCATGCTGACAACTGGGAAGATACTGTGTCATAAGTGGTGGCTCCAGCTAAGGGTTTTCTCCTTCTTCACATCCACTCTACCCTTCCGCCATGATCCACAACAGCTAAGTTCACCAATTCCTTGTAAAATCTTGGCAAAGTCACCAAAGCAGAGACTAAGCTGAGACATATTTTAAAGACTGCCTGGTCTGGGCTGGGCGCAGTGGCTCACGCCTGTAATCCCAGCACTTTGGCAGGCCGAGGCGGGCGGACCACGAGATCAGGAGATCGAGACCATCCTGGCTAACATGGTGAAACCCCATCTCTACTAAAAACTACAAAAAATTAGCTGGGCGTGATGGAGGGCCCCTGTAGTCCCAGCTACTCGGGAGGCTGAGGCAGGAGAATGGCATGAACCCGGGAGATGGAGCTTGCAGTGAGCCGAGATTGCGCCACTGCACTCCAGCCTGGGCGACAGAGTGAGACTCCTCAAAAAGAAAAAAAAAAAAGACTACCTGGTCTGGACTACTCATTTTGTTTTAAATGAGAATATTGAGATTTGAAGAGGAGAAATAAGTTTTTCCAGATCACATAACAAAATTTTGGCCAAGCCGGTACAAGAAACAAGGTCCCCTCACTTCCAGTCCAGTACTCTTCAACTGCATCCTGTTTTGATAGGGATGGGAAAGTTAAGATGGACAGGGCTGAGGAAGACAGCAGGATGGGTACTTCACAAGCTCTTTCAGCTACCTAGAAGCCCAGATACCATGTGAGTATTGTTTTGTGATAATTAAGTGATAAAATATCAGACACTGGAAGGATCTTGAGTCTATTGAATTCTCCAGTGGTTACAGATGAGAAAACCAAGGCCCAGAGATGACATTGGCCAACACATCCAGCACATAAAAGTCATTGATTCCCTTATTCTGGTACTTTCAAGGCACCCCTTTTCCAGCCTCTGCTCCCAAACCCTTTCTCGGTTTTCCATTCGTAACATTTGTAGCCCAAACAGTGAGTGTCCTAGGTCTTCTTAGATCCTTGAAGGAAATCTTTCTTGCTACTCCCTAGAGGTTTTGAGCTTCATTCTCATGCTAAACCAGAGAGGAGAAAGAAGAAAATTAGTGTCCAAAGTGACACTGCAGGTGGAGAGCTGTCCAAAACTCCTAGAATCTCAGTTTCCAACATGAGTTTTTTGTTGGCCTTGGCTTATTAATGATGGTGTATTAAAACCTCATTCATTCAGATCTCACCAATTTGGAATTAGTGACAGTGGTGGTCAGGGTCTGAATGGAGGTTTACCTTTGAGGACCAAAGAGAAAAAGCTGAACAAATTGTTAAAGTTAAGAATATTTAAAGGGAGATATTTAGCCTATTTAAGAAAATAGTCTTTTAAAGTGTTTTAGAAGCACCATTAAAGCTCTCTGATCCACAACTCTTGACCATTTTAATTTTAGTCACGTTATTCTTACATATTCAATAAAGAATATTTCCTGAGAGTTTCTATTAGGGAACATGTTTTAGTCTAATTTAGTCATTATGTTTAAGCATTATAATTAAATTACACTTCACCAAAAAAATTCCCCAATTCAGAATTTGGGTTTTTTTTTTAGGGGGATGAGGGTTCTTTCCAATAATGGATATAGATTAATGAGTCTTTCCTGTACTTGTAATATGTGTATGTGTGCGTGTGTATACTTGCTATGAGTCATAATAGGTTAGACACTATAACTTACATGTAATTGCACTGCGATAGTGATTGTTGTAATGAGTAAACACATTTCCGAGTATGTGTGGTTATGGGTTATAATGTACAATAATAAACAGGTTTGTAACTTTGTCCTAGGTAATGAATGTCAATGACAGGAGAGAATGAGAGGATTTTTGGAAATAAGTCAGTGCCTTCAATGAGAAGGATTTTATTTACAAGGGAGTTGGGGAGTTGGTAAGAGAGTGTGACTGACTGTGGACTCTAGGAACTGTGGAAGTGCTGAAGTTGGGTGTTTAGACAACTGTCCTGTTTGGCAATACTTTGTTTGCTGAACCTGAACCCACTGGTATTGAGGTTCTGGTGAAAATCCAGAAACAGAAAACAGATGACTTTAACAGCAAAAGTGAACATGTGCCAAAGAAATAATATTAAAAACATGTCCAGAAAAAGAGTCTTCAACAAAACTCCAAATCTAAATCGATTTTCATGGTGCAATTTGATTCTCTGGGTTAAATGGCCTGGATACTTAAGTGGCTATACTCCAGTTACCCATGGTAACTACAAGAACTAACTCAAAGATCAGACTAAGACCTAATGTCCAAGAATATTAAATAGTTCTGGGCTAAATGAGGATGGATAAGGAGCCAGAACTTCTATTAGGTCGGTGCAAAAGTAATTGAGGTTTCTGCCTTTACTTTTAATGGCAAAAACTTTTAATTATAAAATAAAGCCGTTTCAACTTTTAATGGCAAAAACCTCAATTACTTTTACACCAACCTAATAATTCTACTTTGAATTAGTATACGTTGTCCATTGACACTTGTCCGAGGCCTGTCTTCCAACATTCCTCATAGTATTCATTGTAGAAAGTATTATTGTGGTTTACTTGGTAATCATAACAGTCACCCATTGCAAGTATAAACTTTTGTGATTTTTAGTAAATTTATGCAGTTGTACAACCATCAGCACAATCCAGTTTTTAAAACACTCTTTTCACCCTCACAGTTCTGTAGCTCCTATTTGCAGTTAATCTTTGCTTCTGCCCCCAACTCCAATGACCTTCTGCACTCTTTCTTGCTTTTTAATTACTTTTGGTTTTGACTCTGTAAAAGTCAGCACCTGGCTACTTAAGGAGACACACGTTATGTTGAAACGGCTTTATTTTTTAATCCATAAATATCTGTTACTGACAAAAGTGGAAAAATCCTTAAGACTAAATCTTACTAAAGTGTATTGTTTACAGTACATGTAGAATGTGCTTTGACAGGTAAGTAGAACGATGAGATTTGTACAGAGAAGCAGTTACTAGAGCACTGCTCACCATGAAGCTTACGAATGAGTAACGAAGAAACTGCAAAGATACATATAGAAAGGTACTTTTCATCAGTGCTACCATATAATAAACATGAAATTCATAAATTGGGCTAATGCATAAAAATGTTCATTAATCCCCCCTTAGGAAATTGTGTCCCCAAACTAAAAATATTACAGTAAGAATTGCTTTTTATTAGAGAATTTCAAGAATTCTTTACTACAAAATGTCTAGTTGAGTTATAGAACTAGAGGAATATTTGCCACTACGAAGCCAATGAATGAGTCCTCCCATGGCGTGGCATTCAGGGGTCACTGCAGGGTGGGCAGCAAAGTTGAGCAGGGTCTTCTCCTCCCTCAGGAGGGAGAGCATTAAGGAGACACACAGCCACAGCATTTCTCTGACTGATGGAAGGTTAATGTGTTTCCTGATTTACAAGATGGGTTTGATGATAACAAACTTGGACTCTCCATTCTTGCTTCATAAGCCTTCACCGGGAGGACGGTAATGTCATGAGGAAGGGCTAGAAAGGTACTAGGATGGGGTGAGTGCCCCTTCCTAGCAGCCCAGATAGTGAGTGATGCCTTCTCCTCCAGTTGGAATGGAGCCTCAGTGTCCAGACTTGGTCTTCAGGACGCACATTCCAGAGTGGGATAGCATGACGTTCATTACCACACAAGAGCCTATGCACATGTCCCTCTGCAGCTTGAAATGAATTTCCCAGCTGCCCTCAAGTACAAAATTCATGCCTTTGTGGGCACACCTCCAGACCTTTCTCTCTAGCCAGCTCCCTCTCTGAAATTGGAACCGCCTCCCTCCAGCTATAAGGACCGTATCCAAAATGGAAACTCCAAACTCAGAATTCCCCAGAATTCCACAGCCACTTAGGATGGTTTAGGTGTGTCTCTACAAGAGGGCTTCCACGGCACACAGTTGGTGACCTGTTGAATGGTTAGGCCCTTAAACTTCAGGTACGAGGGCATCGCTGGGTGGCCGAGCCCATCAGGTCCACCCCAGGCTCTAGTGAGGAGTGCGGTCCAGGACATCTGAGGACATCGCTGTGGGGCAGGCGTTGTGGGATGTGTGCAGCTCAGTGGAGGTGGGGAGGAACGGGGAGAGCAGGTGCTGGCAGGGAATGAAAGCCCTACAATGTAAGAGCTGGATGAAACTTCAGAGCTCATCTAGTCAAAGCCCCTCATTTTACAGATGGGGAAACTGAGGCACTGAGTGGGGAACATGACTCCCCCTCGGAGACAAAGCCAGGGCTGGAAGCTGTGTCTCCAGAGCCTCAGCCCTGTGCTTTTTTTTCTCCTAGAGTATGCTGCCTTCCAAAATCAAATATAGAGCCCAGGAAGACATGTCCTTCATATTGAATTTGCCATTAAAATGCTGCATTTATAAAAAATAACATTTGAACCCTGAAAAATACTTCATTAAAACACAATGCGCTTTCTTGAAAATACTCCAGAGCAAAATTTCCCAGATTTGGAGAGGATGACAGGAAATGTATGTGGGAGGTAACATGCCAGCTTTTCTCAGGGCAGGCCTCTTCTGGAGTCCGAGTGATTGGCAGCCCTTTCATTTTTAACTTGGGTTAGGTGCACAGTTGCTTGTGGAAGGAATATGAGGGTGGAGGCTGGTGACAGACAAGGTATCTCTGAAGAAAATGGACTGAGTTTGATGGCAGGGATGTTGGCGTGGATATTCCTCCATGCTTGGAGACTCAGGAGGCCCTCAAGTCTTTGTGGACAAAGGAGGATAGGTGACATACACAAGCAGGAAGGGAGCAGGTGTTCTGGAGCAGTGGCTGAGAAGCCTCAAGGATAGGAGTCTTTGGCCAGAGCAGAAGCTTCTGGGCTAACATCAGGCTGGGTTGGGAGCTTCAGGGGACTTGCTAGCGTCAGGAACCAAACTGACCATGACAGGCCATGACATCTCAAACCCAGAGCTCCATTCCCTTCCTCCCAGAGCTCAGACGGGGAAAGCCCTTGGCTCCGTGCACTGGGGTATCAACTCACAGGGGCAGGAGATGAAGGATACACCAATGAGGCAAATAGAAGACCCGAAGAATGTCTTATTCTTCCATTGTTTTCATTGAGAGCTCTGATTTTTAGAGCTGGAGATTATAGGAAGACCAGGGAAAAGAAATTAGGAATGGAGGAAGATAGGAGGAAGAGGGAGATGAGAGGAAGGAATGAGTGACCTGGCATGGAAATCTGGGGTTTTCTGGAAATCAGGAGTTTCTGGAAGTGAGAGTGGAAAGAGGGGAGGAGAAATTTGAATTGGGGGCAAGGTTGGAACTTTCTAAGAGGCAGACGCATGGCCCAAGACACTCGGGAGCCCTGAGGGCAGAAGCCCAGTTAGGAGGTGAAGGAATTCTTGGCAAAGCCTTTTTGACTCAGGAAGGCATGGAGCCAGGAGCCTGGAGCAAGACAGGGAAGGTGGAGGTGCAGGAGGGATTGTGAGAGCTTCAATGCCATCAGAGGCCAAGGAGACCAGGCAGAACTTTCAGGGCAGGAGGGAACCTGTACGGATTCCAGTCCATTCCTGTTAGAGCAATAGAGATGTGAAAGAATTAATAAAACAAGGAGAGGGAAAGCTTGGGCTTTAGGGTTCCTTTGTGAGGTGGAAGAGGCTTTTACTGTAGGGGTAGATGGTACTTCTATGTATGATAGAGGCCACCAGCCTGCTTGGGCTAGAAATCATGGCATCTATGTTCTAGCCCCAGAAGCCTCTTTTATCTGCTACGTGAACTTGCCTAGTGATGTGGCTTGGCTTGTTCCATAAAGATGGATGGGACAGCTGAATAAATGGAATACCTCTGTGTCCCAGTTATGACATAGTTTTTGGGATTTTGAAATGAGGGACTGAATTGGAGCAAGTTTGTAGACCTATCTCTATTTCTTTTTTCTTCCCTCCTATCCTCCCTCTCTCCCTCCCTCCATTCCTTGCTTCTAGACCCAAAGGTGAAGCAGAAGAAATCCTTGAAAAGAAGTAACCATTGCAGTAGAATTTTCCAACCCAACTGACATTAGAGACTTTCACCCAGACAATGGTAAGGCTAGGATGAGAAATGTCTTGGAATCAACCCGTCAACAACCCCTGAGACAGACAGAGACCCTGTCAGAGACAGGGCTTGGGGAGGACCCCTGGGGAAAAGTGTCACCCTGGGGGCTGCAGAACTTGGTGCTGAGAAGCTTTGACACTGGAGATGGGATCAGCTTTCTGGTTTGGTGTGTACCTGCATGTAGACACCGGGGAGGGGCATTCTCAGCCACTCAGGTCCTTTCCCCTCACCACCAGCATCCTGCCTTCAAGGGATGGCCACAGATTAGAGGATTCAAAGGTGCTGGGCTCAGGGGCCCAGCTGGGAGCCACCTGCTCTATTCAGACTCACTTCTTCCTTTCCAACCCTCTTAGCCTCACCTTCTGGAACAAACTCTTATAAACCCCTGGGGACCAGCCCTTAAGAAGGTTTATGTGTCTGTGGGGAGGAAAGCGGAGAGGGTAGTCCTTGGCCTACCAAGGGTTACCAGGAATGCGTCCCCAGTGTGGGGGCTGAGGATAGCTTTCACAACCCCCAACCTCCATCCCCCTAAGACCCATGTGATGGTTTCCTGTTCCTGTTGGGAAGCACACCCTGGGGAGGGGAGATGGAGATGAGAGCTTTGGAACTCTTGAAATCAGTGAAAGGAAACAGTCCATTGCTTTCTCTGTGGTTTGTGGACTTGGTTAGATTAAAAATCTCCAGGGCTGACACCGAGAAATTCTACACTCGCCTTTTTAAAGGGCCATGAGGGCAGAATTGAGGGCAGGTAAAACCCCTTTTATAAGGGCACTGCTGTTGGATCTGACTGTTTTAAGGATCACAACTTCACCCAGTAGTCTGGAGTTGATTCCCCCAGCCCCAACCCAGCGGGTGCCCTGGCCCTGAGAATGAGGGAACCCCTTCTTTCCCCCACCAGGCTCTCTGGTCTTGGGGGAGCGGATGCTGCTGAATTCACTGTCAGCTCCCCAGGAGGAAGTCACACCATGCCCACCCCCCGGCTGGAGGCGGGGAAGAGGCTGAGGTGGGCGGGCAGTGGTGGCCCCCGCAACAGAGCTGAGGACCATGGTCTACCAGGTGCCCCAGTGCCTGCAGAAAGGGACAATGCTGTGGGTACCTGCCCAGTTAGCCCCTAGGCCAGTCGCCTGGAGGACCATTGTTGCTTTTGCTAATAGGTCTTTGTCCTTTTGATCCAGGGGAGGCACAGATCTGAAGAAGGAACAGCCAGGAGGAATGAAGTTGCAGGGAGGATGTGGGGGAAGGGGAGACAGGCAGTAGGAGTGAGCTCTGAACTGAGCAGGTAGACAGAGATGGGGAAGGAAGGAGAGGCGGACAGGGTGCAGGACAACCACCTCTCATCCTCCTTGTCTGGGGGCTGAAGAGCCGCTCTCTAGAAACCTCTGCCTGGGTCCTGCCGGAGGTGCATGTGTGAACAGGTGGAGCCCTGCAGGATGCAAATGTTGAGCCCAAGACCCTGCACATCACAGTGGCCCTCTCCACCCTGGCTCTCTGGCCACCGCAGGTGCCTCCTGGGAGCAGAGCAGGGATGGAGAAGGCGGCCTGAGTGGCAGTCATGGTCAAGTCTAGAAGCCTGGAGGGTGTGTGGAGATGATCGGGTGTCTGGGAGGGCCAGAACCCCATCGCTACTCCCCTCTGGGACGGCTACAGCCAAAACCCCAGAGAACTCAAGGGTGAAATCCTCAGGGCCAGGGGAGGAGCACAGCCCCCAGAAAGGACAGGCCCAGGGTCCTTATGGGCGGGCAGTCAGCTGGAAGGGGGCGGAGTTCCCACCAATGGGGAGGCAGCTGAAGGAAGGGAACCCCTCTGGGTCCTGGGGTTGAGGGGAGGGGGTGCAGGGCCAGGGTTGGGCCCTCAGGGGTCAGCAAAGGAAGGGCCACTCAGTGGGGACCAGAGAGTTCCAGCAGGCAAGAAAAGAATCATTATTGTGCTTATGGACACAGCAGCTCCCTGGCTCTGAGAGAGCGAGCAGGCAGTTTTTAGGCACTAGAAGATTTCTGTGATGCGGTTCTAGGTAAATGAATGAGACCGAGTAGCCTATTCGGTCAGCCCACTGATTGGACCCGCTGGCCCCTTCAAACCCAGACAGCTTCGGACCACGGTCAAGCAAGGGTCTCTCTGCTGACAGAACCTGCAGCTGAGTCCCCCGGACGGGGAGAAGGAGGCGCGGGATGGAAAGGGAGTTGGCGAAGGTGGTTGGGGGTGAGAATGGGGCCTGGCCCCCTCCTCACTCCCCGTTGACTCTTCTGGAGGAGCAAGGGCAATTGCTCTTGGTCCTGGATCTAAGCGTATTGAACCAGGCCATCGGGGCTCTGTCCCCGGGGGTATGGCTTTTTGGGCAAAGGTGGCCCACCCCCACTTCCTACAGAGGGGACGAGGGAAGGGAGAGTGGCAAGGCTAGAAGCTCTGCTCCCGGCCCCTCCTGGCCCCTGCTCTGCTCTGCCCTGCCCAGCAGCCCTGGCCCTGCCCCGCCGGTCACACGGTCACTTCGGTCTTGCTGGCTGTGTAGCAGGTGTGGTGGCCCGGGATGTAGTGCAGCTGCTCCACTGTATTGTGTCTGCGCGAGGCAAAGGCATGACGCTTGGCTGCCGTCTGGCTCTGGCCCAGGGTGGCGTACGAGTTATTGGAGGCACTGGGATGAGAGTGCATCTTGCTCATGCGGTAGCGGTCCAGCACGGGTGTGGACACAAAGACGTCCGTGTGCGAGATGGCCCTGGACAGCGACTGCTCGGGAAAGGTCGTCCGCTCTGGGGACAGCAGCGGGTCCTGGGAGTGCAGGCGCTCCGTGGAGAGCAGCTGCTCGTCGGACAGGATGCGGTCGTACGGCATGCTGAACTCATCTGCCAGGCCTCGATCCGGGGACAGGACCCTGTCCTGGGACATGGCCCGGATGGGCCGGCGGGGTCGTTCCCGTGGCAACGGCTTCTGTTGGGACATCTGGATGACATTGAGGGGGAGGGTGCCACGGGCAGCCAGGTCAGGCAGGTGCCGCCGCCTCATGTAATACTCGTCAGCCTCCTTGTCGGCTGCAGGGGAGAGACAGAGTGAGAGAAGGCAACTGGGGTGACCCTGCAGCCAGGACTCAGATAGAACCCTGCACCCCTCCTGCTCCATCACAGACCTGTCAATTTTCAGGGATAATACAGTCAAACTTCTTTAGTTATGTATTAGGACCTGGAGGCTCAGACGGGTGAAGGGTGTATTTTCCCACTGAATGTGCAAACCATTCTCTGGGGGCTTGTTAAATGCAGATTCTAATTCAGTGGGTCTGGGGTGGGCCCAAGAGTTTGCATCTCTAACAAGCTCCCAGGCAATGCTAAAAGTCTCTGGTACATGGACCACCTTGAGGAGGGATATGTTAAGGGACTTCCTCAGAATCCCCAGCATGTTCAGGGCAAAGTTGATGGCAAGCTCAAGTCCCTGAACTCCCCCTGGTCCTGGGCCGTATCTACCACACCATGGTCCTCAAACAGAATGGCCATCTGTCTTACTAAAACATCCAAAGAGCAGCTCCAGAAGCTTTCTGTTGAGGTCCAGAGCCAGCCTCCTGTTAGAATAAAGTAAGGTGCTCAGACTAGGAAATACTTGTGAAAATGTTTAACTGGTACCTTAGGAACATCATAACACCTTCTCTGTAGTAACAGGCAATGCACAGAAAGCCAATACATGGGCCTCCAGTCCCCACGCAGCCATATAATCAGCCTACACATGCTCCACCTGTGCCCGCAACACAAGCGGGTTGGAGTAATCTTAGATGTGCGCCTCATTTAGATGCTCCACCTTCCTCTCTATGCAGCAGGCCCTCCTAAGCTCACACTGCTCTCTGTACCCTTGAATTTGCCCGGAACTTGCATGCTACACAGACACTTACTTGAACTTGCAGGTTATACATAAACCTGCATTGCTCCGAATTTCAGAAATGAGGCCTCCTACACATGGCCTTCTAGATCTCTGCAAAAGTGTGGGCATTCTGCCTGCTCTTCAGTTGACGCAGTGGGATCGCTGACGGGTATCCTTCCTTCTGAGCCAAATTTCATCACCTCGGGATGATTCCTCAGGTTATCAGACAGTCCCATCTCTAGCTAGAGACTCTGCGTTTCTCTATGGAGGTGGCTGATGTGGACTTAGGCTGCACTGCTGTCAGGGTAGGTTACCCTGAAGCTTTCAAGCAAATGCTCACCCCTTGAGGCTCCTACTGCCATTGGGTGATCATCAAAAGAGACTCATGGGAAAATGAGATGAGAAGGTCCAAGGCCAGAAAGCTAGGGAGGAAGAGCTGTCCTTTAGGGAACTTTTTTTGACATTTTTGTATCTTCAACCTATTGATGCCCAGAGTCTCCCTGGACTCCAGAGGCAGAGCTGGCATCACTGGATAAACTGGATTGGACGGATGAAATGAGGTGTATGCATGGGAGGTGAAGGATCTCAGATCCTCAAGACACTGTTGGCTGGGTTGGAGAGGGAGCTAGTTTGTGGGTCTCTGGGAAAGGTCTCAGAGAAAGCTCTGGCCATTGCTAGCCTCTATCCAGTATAGGATATACAGAAAGGAAGGCCCATGGTTTGAAGAAGGCAGATGTGTGTGGGACTTGGGGAAGGCTTTCTCCTGCAGTTAAACTGGTACATGAGTTGGAGGGCTGTCTCCTATGGGGATGTGAATCTGAGGATTCCATGGCCTTCTTTCTATGTATGGGAAGGATGGACTCAGTCCATAAGGAACAAAAACTAAGAGCTTGTCTATTCTCTTCTCCCATCCTGCAACTCCTTCTTTATTCTTGGGATTCGACAGCTGTCCTATGGGGTATGGGGCAAGAGAGTGTGGCCTAGGAAGATATCTTGGAGCCCCAGAGACAGACCTCAACTTGGGGGAAATTCAACTTACTTAGCCTCTTCAGAGATGAATACTTGCTGGGGTTGGTCTTTACTGCAGACTCGTAGGATGGGGGCAGGTGGGCCAAGTTCTGGAAAGAGCGGGAGAAGGAGAGGTCATAGGGCTCGGTGGCTGATGTCAGGATGTTGTTCATCCGTGGCTTCTCTGCAAGAAAAGGGAGGGGTGTTTTGTGTTAATGAGGACCATGTCTGTGGCAGGCAAAGGGGACAGATATAGGTTCTATTCCCCTGCTTTCTGCCTCACCCCTGATTCGAGTCCCCATCTGCTTTCCTGGACCTCCTCCGTGCTTGGACATAGCTTGGTGATACTGTTGACTCAGTTTCCCTCATGCTTAATTCCAGTTGTCAATAAGCCTAGGGGCAGATGCTGTTTTAGCCACCACCAAGAGATTTTACCATTCTGTGAATGGGAGACTCGACTCTTGAGTCTGCGGAGGGAATTCTCTCTCTCAGTACATCTCTAGGTTATCTGCTGAAAACGTAAGCCTGATGGAGCTGAGGAGCATCATAAAAATCATCTACTTCTGTATAAAAGTGCCATCCTTTTCCTAATAGCTTTAGGCAAACCTAGCTCTCAGGCTCAGAAAAATCTCAGTTGGAGGACATGGAGTGACTTCTGTGATTTATGTACCCATAGAAGAACTGGGTCCTGGACGCAGCTCCACTGAGACCCAACCCATGCTCCGTCCATGGCATCCTTGCACAGCTCATGTAGCCCCTTTTCCCCTCTCCAAGCTCTGCACCTGACAAGCCACAGTGAGTCACAGAGCTATTTTATCTTACTCTGATTCCTTTCTCTGAAGCCCCCCTTAGCCATCTCTAAGCTGCTAGAGGAAAGAACCTAGACAAAAATGCATAACACATCATCCCCACTTTCTTCTTCCTTCCCCTGAGTGAGAGCATTGCGATGCAAGAATCTGAAGAGATGGAAAGGAGTGTTGTTCAATGCCAGACCTGGGGAAAAGAATGGAAGGAAAAGTGGAAGAAAAGGTGAAAGGGAGATGAGAGGGTGGCTGATGGGAGCACAGTGCAGTGTGTGCTGAGCTCAGGGCCAGATGAATGACACGGGAGAGGAGAGGGGGCATGCAGGGCTGGTGAGGGAGGCAGTGAGGATGAGGGGACAGAAAGAGCTGGAGATCCTGGGGAAGAAGACCAGCATGCCTCAGTGCTTCATGGACTTGAGGAGGAGAAGCCACAATAAGAATTCAATGAGTGGCTGCCATGGGAAATGGGGGTACCATTCCCAGAAGTGAGGCAGTTGGGCAGCTATAGTCTCGCTGTATCATTCCTCAATCCTCTTTGGTTTGGGACACCTCAAGGCCAAAGAAGTTCTGAGAGGGGGCAGGCTCTAACTTTAGACGAATGTGCAGGAGGACTGCCACACCTCTTGGCAAAGAGAGTGCAGAACCATGGAAAGCATGAATTCTGTGGACTGTGTGAGAGGTGGGAGAGAGAGAAGCCCTCCTAGGCATTGTCCAAGGGCAGCCCCAAGCACCGGGGACTCCTGGCTTCCCTATCCCTTCCTGCCTTCACTGTCCCCCTCAACACTGGGGACTGAGCCAGGAAAGCTCAGCCAGTGAGCTGGTGTTCATGCCAGCTTGGGACATATGTGAGGGGGTGAGGGGTGCTCTACATCCCCATCAGAACATGCTGTACAGAAAGAGCCTCCCTGGCATGCATCAGGACAGATGCCAGGAAGTGGAGTGAGCAGGAACCTGGGAGTGCTGCTCCTCAGGGTGGGTAATAGCCACTCATCTCTCAGCACTTGTCTCTTCACTTTGGCCATGCTGGAGAAGAAGGAACCTCCTTCTGCCTGTTGGCATTATGCTCTCAACAAGGCATCACTCAGCTCACCCACTTCCAAATGCAATCTTTCTGGATACTCTTGTTCTGCCACTGTGTTCCAGAACATACCCCTGAGCCAAGGCCAGCTCTCCCTTGCCTTCTGCCTTCATGGGATCACCGTTGCACAATCTTCCTCCTATGGCAATGCCTCCTTTACTTTTCTCTATGAAATTCCCCCCTCACTCAAGACGTTTTGCTGTGCCAATGTCCCATCTTTTTAGCCTACAGTAGCTGTTCTTTAAGCCTGTATTGCTCTTCTAGTCATTTCCACCCAGTTTAGTATCTAACTGATCTCTAATAATTTGACTTGAGTTAGGATTGTGGATCTCCAAATATTGCAATCTCCTTGACGGCAGGGCTTTGCTTTCCACTTCTTTTGATTCCTTCATAGTGCTTGGCCCAGAATAAGGATCCAATTAATGCTCTTTGTAGAGAACTAACTAAGTAGACTCAGGCCCCCTCCTCTCTTGATAGGCACTCTGCCAGCTCCTGGGAAAGAAGGGAACATCCAAGAAAGCAATGCAGAGAAAACTCTACTCTCACTACATTGTGAGCTGCTCAAGGGCAGGGACCAGGTCTCATCAACTCCCATCTCCCTGCACCGGTTGGAAAAGAGAAGACAGGAAGAGAAGGAGGGAAGAATGGCTCCTACTGTTGTATTCAGGAGTCTGCTTGTGTTGGCTCCTTCTGGGAAAAATCAGCTTGGTAGTTGTTCTTTCAGAGTGTGACTGAGCAAGTGGGAGCTCTCCTTGCATGCCTTTTCTGGCTCTTCCTTTGGCTGCTTAATTACTGTGGGCATCCCCCAGGCTCCCTGCCTTTGCCTTCTGCACTGCTCTTTCAGTGCAGAGTGCCCCCACTCCTGAGGCTTCTGTTACTGCCTCCAAAGCTTGACTCACATCTTCAGCTCTAACCTTCCTCCAGACTTCATGTCTGCATTCCTGCCTGTTGAATATTTTTTCTTGCAAACTCCAGGTGTGCAGATCCAAACTCACTGACAACTTCATCCCCTATACATACTGGCAGTTTTTCTGATTCCTTCGATTGTGTTAATAAAACCCTTATTTTTCTAACAATGGCTCTCATCAGCCGTATTCAGTTAGTAAGGAAGTTTCTCTAATTCTTTCTTCAAAAGGTTTCATATCTCAACCGTCCTTTCTTTTCCCACTGTCAGCATCACCACTGGTATCAACCTCTTTTCACTAATCTCCCCAGTTTCTCCCAGTGCTAACTTTTTAGACCCCACAACCTGATAAATCTGATCGTATTATTGCTTTCATCATTTATTTCCACCTGGAGCGTAGCACATGAAAATATTCTAATCTCCTCCTCCTAATTATAATATCCCGCAGCTTCAATGCTGAGACACACCATAATCTGACACGACAGCAGTAGGTCTCTCTACCAGGTGGCCTGTAGGATTTGTCATTGTTTTGAGTTTTTCTCTCACTAAAAGCTTAATGATGTTTTCACTCTTTCACAGGAAAGAGACAAACATGACTGATAGAACATAAGACAGCCATGTACATTGTGAACTATCAAGTCTTGAGCAGGTGCCAAACATAGGTTTTCTCTGTTCAGCTGTGATCTGGTGGGAGGATATTATAACCTAAGAGGGAAACATGGTTTTATAACCCTTGGGTACTATGCTAACACTCCTCCACTCAACAATTTTCAGCCTCTTTTTTTTCTGCCAAGAGGCTGAAGCCCAAATCAGTTTTGAGTTTTATCAAATCTTAATTAGTTTGGGGAGGATCAATACAGTTTAACCAACTCTCATGTCCTTCATAAATGACATCACAGATAGCTTTGAGCAAAGGAGGGTGTTCCACTCCTTGCTGTGGACATACGGAATTTACGACTGTAAGAAGTGATACAAGTGGTAAGTAGAAATGGGTCTGTGGCAAGTAGAAATGGGTCTAGCCCCTTTCTGTTTATGTCAAGGGATCATTCTGATATCAGAGACAGAAACACCAAGGGGAAAATAGCCTACAAGTGAGATAAGAGCATTGTGGCCCTGGAGGAGGGTGGGCCCATGGCTCCTTGCACCTCCTTAGCTTCAGTGAGTTAATGACCATGTGTTTGATGCCCTGATAGGCATCCGTCCTTAGACTGGTGCCACTCGAAATGAGGAGGAAATGCAGAGTGCTCTCAATCATCTCTCACCATGTGGCAGGATCTGGGTAGCACTGCTCAAAATCGGATGGCTATATTGATGATCACCTGAAAATCACAGAAAAGAAATTTTTAAAGAAGAGTTCAGGCATTCCACCATCTCTCCAACATAACAGCATCTCTCTTTACCTCTAATGTGCTTCTCTGACTTAAAGGAAGCACTTCTAAGAAAGGCAGAGGTCATTGTATGAGGCTCCAAGAAACGTCCCCTGCTGTTTCTGTCTCTCTCCTTCTGCAACAGGACTTCCTCTGTCACCATGGTGACCCACCCACCTCTCTGGAGGAGGCCAACCAGCCATAGAGGCTTTGTAGGGAATGGGTGGAGGAGGAGAAGGATGGAGAGTAGGGAGTGTTTGGCAGGTACGCGTACATGCGTGCATGCATAGGGTGGGGGAACTAAGCAGGGGAAGCAGATTTCTTTGAGCGTTGGGTATTAGGGTGTGTTTAACCAAAATGAGGGTGCCCTGACTTAAGGCGCTTCCACTTTACAGGACTTTGATTTGTCCCTAGGCTTTTATACAGGAGGGTCTGGATGCACCCTGAGATGCAGCAAGATGGCCTGAGCTGTCCACTGCCTGAGATCAGCAGTCCTGGATTCTAGGCTCTGTCCTGCCTTTAACTGACACAGCCTAATAGTTCAAAAGCATTTCCTTTATTAATAATATTCCACTTAGATGGAATAATCCACACAATTAACACAGTTACAGTTGCCAAAGCCTGAAGTTTAAGGTGTTCCAAAAGCTTTTACAATTGTTGGAATGAAAATGTGGCTGACCACTCCAGTGCACTCGGGCATTCTATGATTGCTTCAGCTGAACATTATGTTCTTGTTTTTCATTGTTGCATGTAACTGATTTCAACTAAAGCAAAGGGAAGAGGAGGCATGAGGCCCTTGTTTTAGTTTACCTAAACCGCAGATGACAGCCCTGTCCTTCTTGCAGTCTAGAATTTTCATTTCCTTACATCTTGTGACTGAAGCCTTCTTCCCTGCCTTTGGCCTTATACTCTGGCTAGTCATTCTATAGCTCCTACACTATATTCCATTTCCCTTTCTATTCTCTAAATACCAGGGCTTCATAACGCTCAGGCATCTTAGTGAAGACTTCAGCTCTACTCCAAGGTTTACATCCGCTTGCCCAGATTAATAGTTCCCAAATCTACAACTCTAGCCTGAGGTCCATCTTGATCTGGAAAGTTAGATTTTATGCTTATGGACATTCCCTTGAAATTCCTACCCTCACCCAAATCATTAAGTCCCAAAGTGAGCTCTTCATTTTATTCTGGTGTCCAGGCTTCTGTCCATGGTACTGATGTGCCGTGGGCCTGGAATGTGAAACTTCAGTCATCGTCACCATTTTCCTCCTTTCATCCTCCATATCCAGTGTATCCCGAAGTCCTCTTCCCTGCAGCCATCTCCTAAATCTAGGCCCACAATGTATCTTTTTGTCAAGATTTCTTTTAGCTCTACTCTCAATTTCCAAGACAAATCCTGTGAATACCCACCAGACAAAATCTCCCAAACCAATGGAATCATCACAGCATTCCCTTGGTGAAAGTTGGACTCTAAATAGTCAAGCACACAGGGCTGGGTGTGGTGGCTCACGCCTGTAATCCCAGCACTTTGAGAGGCCAAGGTGGACGGATCACAGGGTAAAGAGTTCGAGACCAGTCTGGCCAACATGGTGAAACCCTGTCTCTACCAAGAATACAACAATTAGCCGGACGTGGTGGCATGTGCCTGTATTCCCAGCTACTCGGGAGGCTGAGGCAGAAGAATCACTTGAACCTGGGAGACAGAGGTTGCAGTGAGCTGAGATTGCGCCACTGCACTCCAGTCTGGGGGATAGAGCAAAACTTTGTCTCAGGAAAAAAAAAAAAAAAAAAAAAAAGGTCAAGCACACTATCCAGTGTGGGTGGGTTTGGGAAGTAGGCCACAATTTCTCACATGAAGATACTGTCCCTTCCCAAGACAGATTAGATTGAAGCCAGGGAAGAAACTATTTGCCAAAGGTTGAAACAGTTCTACACTGGACCTGAATTTAAGCAAGAAGAGAGAATCCAGAGAGATTAAAAAACATTTTTTTCTTGCTTGTCCTCCAGAGGCAAGAAGAAAACTAGTTCCAATGAGGTTTTATTGTTGTTTGGTGTATTTGTTCACTTTTAAGCAATATGGCAGGATCACAGAGAAATGGGAGAAACCCAGGTCATTCGATCTGGAGTTTCTGGAGAGTGGCAGTTAGCAAGAAACACTTCTAGACTTCCATCTCAGAGTTTAGGTGTCACCAGGAAAGGGTTATTGATAACTCAGATTCACTTAATAATTGCTGATAACCAATTATGCTTCTTGCTCTGTGCTGAACACTTTCACAGGCATTTTTAAAAACTCATTCACAGTCATCTTCATTTAAATGGGGACTGAAGTAGAATGAATATATATTATTGGCCTACCATTTGCCAGACACTATGTAAAACTCTTTAAATACCTTAGTTGAAATCTTTATTGTAATTTTTTTAACAGATGAAGTCACAAACAATATATGTCTTGATTTACAAGTACAGTGCTTTTCCTTTTGTTTGAATCTCACTTAAAATGTTTCATTAACAGCAGATTTTTCCTACCTTGGCATTAAGGAGAGCATTTTTAAGTTAAGTATAAGGATGAGAAACACCCTAAAATAACCACTGTGACATTTTGTTGTATTTCCTTTTATTTCCTTCCCCCATAGATGATTATATGAGTGCTTACAGACACCCTCAATCCCGACCCCCCCACCTAAATAGCATTGCAATGAATAATCTTGTATATGTGTCATTTTGTACACAGACTGTAGTTCTTACAATGAATTAAAATAGCGTGATTTAATCTTCACATGTGTGCAAAATGACAATTGTGTGAGACAATTGGCTGTGGCATTTTTATAGTAGTAAAAGCAATGAAACCACCTAAATACTCATATATGCATGTGCTTATGCACACAGATAAATAAAAATATCTAGTTTTTGCTTATATAATCATGCTGCATATACTACTTTAATCTTCTTCATACCTAATGAATAAATGAAAGTGTCTTGAATATATTTTTATGTTTGGAAATATTATTTGAAACACCTTATATGGTTCACAATATTATTTCTATAGAATAGCGTATTCTGTATGCCTCTATATCATTTAAGCATAATATATTTAAGCATAACGTATTTAAGCAGGTCCCCTATTTTTGGTATTTAAATTGTTTAAAAGTTTAATACTGTTACAGCAAACAACCCTGAGCAGACATCTTTGGTGATGTCTCATTTCCTTAACCCAATAACTAAAGGCAGCATTTCCAAGTCAACACACTGTCAATTGTCTAGCAGTGTGACAGGGGAGATTGATAGGTTTCCTCATATTGAACCATTCATCTGTCTATTACTGAGAAATATCTTATTTGATTCTGGTGTCTTATTATTTTATTACAACACTGGATTCTATTGTGAAATTGTGTGTGTGTATATATATATATATATATGAAATATGCATTCATAAATAAAATGTGTAATTTTTGTGCTAACCCCCCGTCAAGCTTTTGTATTAAGATAATTTTGAAAAACCAAGTGAGTAACATTCCATCTTTTTGTATGCTTTGAAACAGTATAGCATGAAGCATCTGTTTTTTGGATGTCCGGAGGAATGCAACAATAAAAATGTGTAGTGTCTTTTCGGGGGGTCCTTCTATTGGCGCAGGGCTAAACGCTTGGCTTGTGTTATTTCATCAACTGCACAACAACAGTTTTGGGAGGGAGATTGTGTTGTCATTGCCAGTTTAGAGATAAGGAAACTGAAGTTTAGGGAGTTTGAATATGTTGCTGAATGTTGCGTAGTTAACAGGTGAAGCTGGGATGTGAACCTAGGCAGGCTGGCGTTAGGCCCACATTCTTAACTATGTAATGTTATGTATACTGCCTTCCCATACTTGGCAACATGATCCTTGCATGGTGATTCATTCAAGCTTTCCAATTTCTACATTCAATTTGCAATATCAATGTTTGTTTTAAAAAAATCCATTGGACATTTTAAACTTCATTAGCTTAAAACTAAAACATCACTCACAAAAATCTCCATATATGAAGTTGGACCCCTTTTCTTCTTAATTCTCTGTGTCAGTGTTTTGTGGATTAGTAATTTATTCATATTATTATTCTCTTTCACAGAATTACCTCCTATACATATCAGTTCTATAATGTTTTAACTCTTCCAATCATTATTTTATGCTTTTGAATTTGCTAATTCCTGCCTCCTAATTTTCTTTGGTTTCGTTTGTAATTGTTTTCTTATTTCCTGGCTTGAATCTTTGATCCATTTATTTTCACTCTTTTCTGTTAACAATATAAGGTCTTTAACTATGAATTTCTCTCTGGCACTGTTCCATGAGCAACAATACACAGTGTTCTTATTGTTGTTATATCCTAAATGATCTGTAATTGCAGCCTTGGTTTTCTCTTTGACCCAAGAGTTATTTAGTAGAGTGTTAAAATTCAAAATGTTTGGGTTTGTTCGTTTGAACTTTTGCCATTAATTTTCTATTGTATTGTACTGTGGTCAGAGAGCAGAGCCTGTACAAGTTCTGCTTTTTGGAACTTACTGAGATTTCCTTTGTGGACTAATATACAATCAATTTTTGTAAATGTTTTATGAGTACTTTGAGAAAAGATATATTTTCTTTTGGTAGAGTACAAAATTGACATATACCTATTAAAGCAGATACCTATTATATCTATGAAAAATCCATTATTCAGTTCCTCTGCATCCTAATTCATTCTTTGCCTACTTAATCTCTCAAAGACTGAGGGCAATGTGTTAAGGTCTTCCACTATTCTTGTGTTCCCTTCCTCTTTCTATCTGTTACAGAATTAGTTTTATATATTTCACAGCTACATTTTCAGCACAAAAAGCTCATGACGCTGTGTCTTCTTTGTTGCATGTACCATTTATCGACATTAAATAAACCTTTCTGTCTTTTTTTTTTTTTTTTTTTGAGATGGAGTCTTGCTCTGTTGCCCAGGTCGGA